TTGAAAAACAATCCCGAAAGAGTTTTCCCTTTTTCCCGTCCAATATCAATGAGACCTCACACCTCCTAAGCACCATATTACCATATATTCTGTCAAGAAAACAACCCATCTCATTCTTACCTATATCCAAAGCGCATTTACGCGCAATCACGTCGCAATCACACCCTGTCCAGATTTCCGCATTCTGTGACCAGTTTCAAAGAATGACCTATATCTCGAGATCCACCAGTTAGTTTTATCTGAAATTTGGATATGTTTTAGATATCTTCTGGGGCATTCTATTGATATATTATACACTTGCTAATTCCTTACGGTCATTGAGATATTGATCTTCGAAGTAAGGGCAGCGTTTCTGTTTTTCTGGGTGATTCTTGAAATTCTTGATTCTGTTTTGAAGTGCTTGTGTGGAACCACTTGGTCTGAAATTTTTGGTGATATTTACAGTAATTATTTGGAGGTTATTTATCAAAAAAATCAAAAAAAAAATCAAGAAAGTTGAAAAAAAAAAAAAAGCAAAAAAGAGAAAGCAATAAAGAAGAAGAATAAATAAGGTTGGGGAAAGAATTTGGCTGGTAGGAGAATTTTGGAGGGACAAGGAAGGGGAAAAGTATAAGGTTGGAAGGAGTTTTTTAATGATTCCTAATTGGTTGTGGTACACGTGAACCCATTTTATATTCTATTTGTCTCTATCTTTTGATATTGGTCTTGCATATCTTTCTGCCATACTTCCTTCTTTAGTTTCCTTTTTCTTTCAAATCTTATTTAGTTTCTTTGCTCGTATTGTCCTTTTTCTTTGCTTCTTGCTCTCAATTTTATTATCTATCTCACGATACACCCTTACTCTCAAAGGCTTGTGAAGTCTTCCAAGGTACGTTTTCTTGAACTTTGAGGTTAAATCCATATCAACTTGAGTACCGGACTAGAATTTTTCTTTTTGGAAAAAGGTTTGTGAGAGTATCTGCCATCTTGAGCGATACACGAGTGGAGTGTGTGTTTGTAAGAGTGTGTAGTACACCACCAGAGCCATATAATCCACCTCTTACCTGCGAGCTGAGAATAGTGAGGGAGCGAGCCAACTTTTTGGTTTCACTAACGTGATTACTCACACATCTTTTTTTTTTTTTTAGATATTTTTTTCCTATACAGATGGCTGATCAAGTTCCAAACTTTCCCCAGACATTAGAACAAAAGATAGACAGGTTACTCAAACGAATGAATAATTTGGAGCAACGCTCACAACAAGTGCAACCACCACACAATGATGAGCGACACCTGCCACCAGTAGGAAGAGTGGATCCTATATGTCAAAGGATCCAGCAGCGTAATGCGGAGTTAGGAAACATTAAACATGAAATTCCTAACTTCACCGGTGAGAAAGGACCTACCGAATACATAGAATGGGAGAATGCTGTTGAAACTCTTTTTTATTTAAAGCAATATTCTGATCTTACAAAAATTAGGATAGTTGCTACATCTTTTAAGGGGTATGCATTATCTTGGTGGCGAAAAAGAAATATAGAAAGAGTTGCTAATTTTATTCCCTATGAATCTTGGGTTCAAGTGAGGGAAGATATGCGCCTAACCTTTCGTCCTAAATCTTTTTTCAATGATCTTGAAAGAAAATTGCAGGGAACGGTGCAAGGAAATAAGTCAGTTGATGAGTACTACCAAACTATAAGTATTTTGCTTAAACAGGGAGACATACATGAAGAAGAGACAAAAACTGTTGCTCGTTTCGTACATGGATTGAACTTAGAAATTCGGTGTGGAATGAGTATTCAGAGATATGACACCCTTTATGATGCCCTGTATGCTGCACGTGAATCTGAGGCAAAAATCAAAGAGATGAAAATGTACAAGTCCAAAAATGGTGCATCAAGATGGAACAACACTTGTTCCACCCCTCAAAGGCGTGATGAACATCCTCCTCCAAGAGATGATTCACGAGACAAAGGTAAGGAAAAGGTAAGTGAGGCAGTAAGGCCTCAACGTGATAGAGAATTGATTTGTGATAGATGTAATGGGAGAGGCCACATAGCTCGTGATTGCCCTAACAAGAGGGTAGTTAAGATAACAACACAATCTGAAAATTTTACTTCTTGTCTTGAATATAAATCTGAGGATGAGGTTTGTGACCATTTTGAAACCCCCAATGAACATGTTGAGAGAGAACAATTCATACCTTTAGATTCTGATTCTAAATATGTTGATAGTGAGTCTTGTCATACTGTTGTTGTTAAGAAGGTTTTGAATGTTCACCCTTTAAAAGAATATGAGTCTCAAAGAGAAAATATATTTTGTGCTAAAGGGTCAATTAAAGAGAATGCTTGTGCTATGGAAATAGATTCTAGAAGTTGCACAAATGTGGCTAGTGCAGCTATGGTTAAATTTCCCCAGTTACCTTTGCTTAATCATCCAAATCCTTATTGTTTGCAATGGTTAACTGATGTAGGAGAATCTAGAGTAACCAAACAGGATCTTATTCCTTTATCTATTAACAGTTACTCTGATGAAATCTTGTGTGATAATATCCCAATGCAGGCTGCTCATATCTTGTTAGGTAGACCATTGCAATTTGACAGAAAAATAAGTTCTGATGGAATGAGGAACACTTATGTGTTTCACATGAATGGAGTTACATATTTCTTGTCTCGTTTGTATCCTAAACAAGTAGAAGAAATTCAATTGACATTGATGCAAGCTCTCAAACCAGCCTCAAAGAAGGAAGAAATCATAGAGAGAAAAGTGGAAACTCCATGTTTGGAATTGCAATCACCACTCCAATCCTCTAACTCAGTTTGTAGCCAAACAAAGAGACCACAATCAGTGATAGAGTGGAAAGGACCAGCCCAAGGTGTCAAAGTGCAACATCTCTTGGTAACTAAAAAGGATAGTATGCAAGAGAAAGGAAGGGGTGTCACTTTATACTCACTTTTATTCCAAAAGCATGCATTATTATTCTCTAGATTTCTTTGCCATGTTTCTATTAATGACGTACTTGCTAGATGTGTTAGAAATTTGTTTGCCTCCATACATCCAAGATTCCTTAATTTTGATTTTACTAAAACTTTGTTTGATAGAGATAAGGAATCACTGGAAAGTTATAAGGCACATTTGAAAACTTCTTATGTGAAACACTACTTGCTCAAGGGGTTTTGGTTCAAAGTCAATGGGATTGGCACTTTTTGCTTTGTTTTGGGCAATGGTTTAATTGTTGATTCACATAAAGGACACTTTGGTTTTCCAAAGACTGATGATGTTTTGCATGGATATTTTCATTGGCCAAAGAAGAAAAAAGATGTAGAATCTTATGTTCATAATTGTGCTACTTACCACCACAATACATCTAAAACATTACTTGATATTTCCATGGATTTTGTGTTTGGTTTAGCCTTAAGCTCTAGAAGGAAAGATGTTGTGCTTGTTGAAAATTCAAACAAGATGGCTAAATTTAATATGACTCGTTTTGCTGATCTATTACTATCCAGAATGTTTAAATTCCATGATGTGTCATTAGACTTAATTGCCTTACTTGTTGATTGTAGGATGATGATTGGAGCGACTCGTGTCAAGCACCCCAAGAAAAAGTTCCATGAGCGTGATAAAACAGAAAGTGAGCTTGCTACTTTGTCTTTCATTGAAGATTTGGATTCGAGGACGAATCCTTTTCAAGAATGGGAGAATAATATGAACCAGCACACATGGAATCCAATAAGGGTCTATAGTGGGCTCATCACAAGCCCAAAAAGTACATCCTTAAAGCATCATTGGTGGAAAAATCAAGGAATTCCAATAATAATTCCATTCGATAGAGGAAAGTATTATAGTGGCCCGTTTCAAGTGATGTCACAGATCGAAGACAATGTTTAGAAGATTCGAGGTCGAATCATTTTTCAAGAAGGGGAGGATGATGCGGCCCAACATAATGAAGATCCATTAAGATTACAAATTGGGCCAATCACAAGATCCGAGGCCCAAATCAGCTTTATTATTTGTGGTCATCATTTATTTTAAATTGTTTAGAATTAAAGAGAAAACACTAGTTGTATTTAGAAAGGATTCCTTAAATCCTTTTCTAAATAAAACTCTATTTACTTGTTTTCTAGATTAGGTTTAGGACTCTTTTTCCCATTGTATTTAGATTACAATGTTGCCCTATACCTATAAATAGGGCACATCCATATCAGTTTTGAGGAGACTTTAATTCAATAAAATTCTTAAGTTTTTCTTTACACTTGTGTAAGAAACCTTATAGCTAATTGTGGACTCAATTAGTGACTAGTCGTGGACTCGACTAGCAAATTGATTCGTGGACTCGAATCAATCTTACTTTCTTCAACCTTAGATTTAGGTTCGTGGACTCGTTCTTGAATCGAAGAAAACTAGATCCGACTCTAGTTGATTGAAGATTGCATCATCGAGGTACTTGAAGCTACAATGGGATTCTTCCAAGTCTTTGAGGATTCGAGACAAAGGGTTTCTCGTGAGGTTTAAGGTATTTCGATCCATCTCTATCTTTACATTGAGAGCAATTCTTGGGACAATATTCCATCTTATTTGAACCTTGGACTAGGTTCATATCAGTGTCTCCGATGGATCCTCAATCTTGCGGGGGCGTATTAAGCATATGAGTGGTTGATATTTTATATTTACTTAATTGTTCTAAATAGGCTCCTGTAGACTAGGCCAGTAACTCTATCTTCCCTCTATTTCTCCTCTCTTGTACTCTATTTAAACTCTGCTCATTTATGTTGATCAACACACTTCTTTCTCAACCTTACAGATCCATCATGAAATGAAATAAATTAAAACTACTTACTGCATGTCATGTCTTCCTTTGCATTTTATTAATTTCATAGCACAATTAAGCTCAAAAGTTACTAACTAAAATTCCAAAATGTACTGTAATCCCAGGCAGATCCAGAATGTATACAGTAAATAGTACAGTTTAGATAATGGTCCAACACCATGGTAGCGATACCCCTCTTGAAATCAAGCCAAATGGTTACATTTCTCATGTTGATAGCAGAGCTATATATAACAAAATTGGATTTACACACAAATAAATCAGTAAATTACTATGTACTTCGTCCCACCATGGTAGGTAGGGGTGTGCACAGGGGGGGTGCCAGGATTGGATATCATGGTGCAGGGGGCCAATGACTGTTAAAATACTAAATTAAATACGTTGATATCCAATAAACATATTTTAAAATAATCATTACATTGCAAATTTACTAAAATTTAAAATCAATCATTGATTATATATTTCTTGAAAACTACAATCTTCACAACAAAACTCGACCAATAGCAATTGTTTTATAAAGCACGAATAGTACACAATTTTTACATTGTTTAATTAAATTCAATGCAAAATTCACCACATTACCACAACATAAATCCACAAAATGAACCAAACAAATGCACCTTGATATCCATTTACAATAAAAAAAAATTAACAAATTATTATCAAAAAATTATCATGGTTCTCTGGCCCAAGAGCCATATTATCACGAGTTTTCTGATCCGATGGAAGTATTAGCAGAATATTAACAAGAAAGATCAAAAGTATTAAAGTCGTATTATTCATGTTATTACTGATGAAAGTTCAATATTAACAAGTATTCGAGGAAGAAATCCCACGAGAAGAAATAGAATCAGCCAAAGAAAAGTTGCAAAATATTATGAAGATCAAGAAGAAATGCCTTATCAACAAAAGAAGGAAAAGACAAAAAATGCTAGAAGACAAAATGTAAGCAGGAAGAAATAAAGGCACTTTAATAGATTTATCTTATTGTACTAGACTTTATCTTTGTGTACTAGTTGAAATAACTAAAATCTTATCTTATTGTACTTAGTTTGAAGACTTTTTATGTAGTAATTATCTCTTTGGAATTGTAAAAATCTTGTAAGTTTCCTACTAGGTTTTCTATATAAGGAGCCTCTTTGTTTAATAAAAGTATCAGAAAAGTTGTTTCTTTTCATGGCTTTCTAAACTTCATTTCGTCTATAACTAACTATTAAGAGTATAAGCATACTACCCACAGAAGAGAAAAAAAAAAAGCTAACTATGATCTCTACGTTGAAAATCATGATTTTAATCGGGGCTTCTTTTTTCAAGTTCTAATGTCTAAATACCCACATATATACAATATTCGCCTACACCGAGGCTCAAACACTAAACCTCCCACATAAAGGAGCAAACCGAATATCAATGGACCACAAGCCACTTAGTTCACATGTTATACATTTGGCTCTATGATAATTGCCTATTTCATACCAATCTCTTTCTTCTTGTTTTAGCTTATTCTTATTATTAATAAATTTATCCCATTGTTTAAAGTTTTCATCACAATTATTACATCAGGTAAGATAATACATCCTCAGCTCTTTCAAAATGGATCTTCGGAGCTCAGACTTGCCTTAATAGTAATTTGTTTTTTCCTCTGCTCGATGACAGTTATATAGAACTCGGTAGTAGCTGGAACATGCTTATGCTATAAGTTTATTAATTTATTATGCATTTCTATTAAGGGTTTTGGATCATTAGTTATTACTTCAAAATTATTATAATATAAAAAGGTTATTATTTCTTCTACTTATCCTCATTTACTATGTCCTTTTACACTGGTTCTTTTATGTCTTAACATATCTTCAATTCTTGATTTTAGGGTTAATATTCCCCATACCCTTTTTTGACTCATCCATTCTTGAAATTTATCTAAGGTACAAGGGATTTTCATATTTAGACTAGTATTGTCTCCTTCTATTATAGTATTTTTTTTCATATTTTAAATAATTGACATATTATTAGGACTATATTATTAGTATTAGACTAGAACTCTATTTCGTGTCTATATATTTGTATCTTCAGACTTTGGCATTTAATACAACACAATCTATATTCTCATCTGGTATCAGTTTCTAGGCTTTTTCTCATGGAATCTCTCGGTGCTAATGATGACGGCTCTGTTCGATCTTCTGAGCGGACCGTTACCGAGTCTTCCCCCGTTCCTATCGGGAATAGCCTCTCATCGGCTCATCACTTCGTCTCCCTGAAGGTAACCTCTCGGGACAATTTGTTTTGGCGTACACAGATGCTGCCGTTCCTCGAGGGTCAAGGGCTGCTCGGATTTATAAACGGCACTATGTTGTATCCGGCTCCCTCGTCGGCCGCCGCGTCGACGGTGGAAAATGCGGTGGTGGCCGCGGCAAAGCTCTCGTCGCAGCAGGCGGCAGGACAAGGTGATCCTATCGCTACTGATTTGGTCTCTCTCGGAGGAGACGTTGCATTTTGCGGTTGGTCGAAAGACTTCGCGGCAGCTTTGGCTAACTATTGAACAATATCTCGCCTCTTCTACTCGGTCTTGGGCGTTGCGGTTGTTCGGTGAGTTGCAAGGCTTGCGTCAGGGTGATTCCTCTATATAAGACTACATCGGCCATGCGCAGATGCTGATTGAAGACCTGGCTCTTGCCGGTCGGGAAGTTACGTTAGACGATGAAAACCTATATGTCTTTCGTGGCTTACGACCTGAGTTTCGCCCATTGGTGGCAACGTTGGCGCGAAGTGCTCTGGTTCCGCTGACTGAGGTGGCGGACTTCTTAGTCTCGCAAGAATGGATCTACGCCGATGATGGGGCCGGTCTTGGCGTTCCAGCAGCCTTGGCCGTGAGCCGTGGTTGTCACGGCGGTCGTGGCGGTACACAGCAGCCACGAGGAAGCGGTGGCCGTGGCAGAGGCGGTCGGGGCCGTGTTCGTAGGCGCTCCGGTTCTGGGCCGCGACGTCAGATCTGCAACAAACAAGGTCACATTGCAATATCGTGTTGGCAGTGTTTTTCGGCCTCCCCGGCCTCACAGGCGAATGTAGCTGTCTCGAGTGTTGATGACTCGAGTGGCCCTCATGAATGCATGGTTTCCTGACACTGGTGCTCCAAACAATGTTACGCCTGATTCCTCCTTAATGGCTTCTGCAACGTCCTATGATGGCCCTGAGACTCTTCGCGTCGGCAGTGGTACAAGTTTACCTATTGTTAATGTTGGTTCCGCTTCTTTAGCTACTGATTCTAGGTCGTTTAAGTTACGTGATGTTTTGCATGTTCCTGGCCTCTCTAATTCATTATTGTTTGTTCAGTGTTTTGCCAAAGATAATATTGTTTTCTTTGAGTTTCACCCCCTTTGTTTCTAGGGCTAAAACATAGAGATCTATGCCGAGGGGAATCGATCTTTGGCATAAGGGTGGAGGCAGGTGAGAACCAACGCTTAAGTCGGGACCATGAAAAGTCTCCCCGGGTTAAAACACAGAGCTCTGTGCCGGAGGAGATTGGACCTTGGCTTGAGGTTGGTGAGCGGTCTATACTAAACCTTTCACTTACTTTCTGTACAGGACCTTGGCGATATAAGGTTGGACGACGGTTGCACATCGTTCCCACTAGTGAGGCTCGACTATAAGCCTTTGTAAAATAAGAGGTGAATTCCCCACCTTGGATTACATGCTTGACTAGTGGTGTATAGAGTGAGTCACCCTATTTTGTTTAAATATTTTTACCTTCTTAAGGGGACAATTTTTTTAAATACTCCGCGAGTTGCTAACTGATGCATGATTAACACATTTTCGAAATAATTCAAGGGATTCCATTCTTAGGCTGGTCTAGGACATGTTCTTTAAGAGAGGCATATGGTATGTTTTTAGGTATTTTTGGACAGAAAACGTGGTAAAAAGGTCAAAATGAGCAAAACCGAGAAAAAGCGCGCGAATGAGGACCGAACACACCGGGACTACGCACGAGAGAAGGACGGAATGGGAATTATTTCCCATTCACGCCCATCTTCACGGTGTGAGAGGCCGTATGAATGGGAAATAAAGGGCCGGCCAAAGCCTTAACACGGAAGGGATTATTCCCTATTCACGCCGGCCTCACGGCGTGAAGCCGTGCGTGAATAGGGTGACGAACCAAAAGTGTTTATTTAAGGGAAAAAATCAGATTTGGATTGGAGAGTTCAACATTTTCTAGAGAGAAGTTTTCTTAGGTAGCTTTAGATTAGGGTTAGCTTTCATTTTCTCTCTTTCTAGGATTTTAGTCAAAATCTATATGTTTTGCAAGAAGGATTGAAAATTTGGAGTGCTTGTAGCTTGGATCTTCATCTTCTACCAACATTTGAAGGGATCTAGCTTGAATTTTGGGTGAAATCTACTCTTTGTTCTTTATTGTTTATATCTTGATTCATCCATTTTATACTTGATAGATCTTGCTCTTTATAATGATTGACTAAAATTCTAGTAGTGGATTGGATCTTGTTTCTTTGTGTTGAATATGTATTGATCTATTTGTTTGGCTATGTGTTGATGTCTTGTTGTAAAGAGACTTTGTATGGACTCTTGTGTATGGTGCAGGACCGTCCCTTGGCATGACTGGCCATGGCACTTGCACAGGGGGCCCCAATTAGAGAACATGTATATACATATACTATACAGCAGGCAGCGTACTGCCTGCTATATAGTATGTGTATATATTAATTTTATTTTCTTTTTTAAACAATTGGCCCCAAATTTGGGGGCCAATTGTTAAAAAAAAAAAAAGAATTATATACTTATATACATATATAATATATTATATGAGTTATATATATTGGTCATGTTTGGTAACATAGTTAGCTTATCTATTAATTTTGGCTTATTTGATTATTTTTAACTATTTGACATGGTTAAAAAACTAATATAAGTGTTTGGTTAATCAGTTTTTTGTAACTCCAAAAGCTAAAATTTAAAAAGATGCTCAAAGCAATTTTTTCAATTAGCTTTTTGAGAAAATAAATTATACAAAACAGCTAACAGCTAATTTACCAAATATTTTTCTACAATCAAATGTTATCAATTAGTCATATCTTCTAACCCAATCAGCTAACATCCATTTACCAAATAGGGCCATAATTTTTTTTACAGTTGGGCCCCAAATTTGGGGGCATAGTTGTAAAAAAATAATAATAAAATTATATACTTATATACATATATTATATGAGGATTGTCAACCCGGTTACCATTCCAAATGGATGTTCATAGGTTTGAACCCCGGTGG